ACTTAGAGAAATAAAAAGTCATTAATGAAGCTAAAATAAAACAATATCAATACAGGCATGCATACAGCCTTTTAAAATGTTCTACCAAACTGAAATGAATTTAAAAGATGAAACAATTCATAAGAATGATGCTACATATTGAAGCAAAAGAATATACATAGTTTATATTCCTGAGAATACAAATAGAAGCAGAAACAAATATAAAGATGAAAGACATAATTTATACAAATACAAACAAATATTAGTATGTAAAGACTAACACTATAGATTAAAAGAAACTATCCCAGGAAAAAGTTGATTCAGAAAAATTCATTTCAGCACATCTAGATACAGTAACTAAAATCTCAAATATAACTAAAGATCCTATAGCTATATAGACAGGATAGATAAGATTCCTACTCAGAGGGAAAAAATCAATCCAAACTCACAATTTTCTGTAACCAAAATTCATTGGCAAACATGAAGTCTACATGAGCAAGAAAATTGTCACTCCTATATAAAAAATAATCTCAAATATTCAAGAGCTCAAATAAAATGAGGTGACCATATGTCAGTTTGCCAAGATCCATTTCCGTTTGTATTTCCTCACTAGTATTAAGTGTGATTTTTCATGTCCTGATGTGAATAAAATTTATAGTGATGTAAATAATAAATTCTATCTGAAAAAAATAATTTGTGTATATCTTTAAGATGATTGACTTTTGTCAAAGAAATCAGAAATGGAAACAGAGAACTTCCCTATTCAGCTCTAATATGTAAAGAGCTTAGAAGTCAACCAGTGACTTTTCTTGGACCCATTAGAGAGAGAAAGTTACCAGGTAAATTATCACCTTAAAATCTGTAGAGGCAGATGGAGACAGTGAATCTGAGCTAGCAGTTTATATATATATAGATATATCCTGCCCAGCTTACAATAAAAAAATTATAACAGAAACAAAGTAAGCATCACAATGAGATACAGATATGGAATTACCAGAGAATTTTAAATAACTATGGTGAAACTTTTAAGAGTTCTAATGGGAAAAAAAGTAAGCAATATACAAGAACAGATGGGTAATGCAAGAAGAGAGACAAACTAAGGTAGGAAAAAAAAGAAAATGCTAAATCTAAAAAGAAAGATTCAGGGCCTCCCTGATGGCACAGCGGTTGAGCGTTGTTCTGCAAAGCTGCCAGCAGCCTCTGCAGTGCCGGTTCGATAGCCGGCCACTGGCGAGAGTCCCACATGGCACGCAGACCTCTCCTGCCACCCGCTACTCCCCTCAGCAGTGTCCTCTGTCTGTCTGCCTGTTCTGCTCCCCGCTCTGGTGAATTCTCTCACCCTCCCACGTTTCTGACTGTACCCAGTGCTTGTATAAGTAAATAAATAAATAAATCTTTAAAAAAAAAAAGAAAGAAAGATTCTGTAGGCTGAACACAGCTGAGGAAAAAATCAGTGAACTTGAAGATAGGTCAATAGAAACTTCTGAGATTAAAATGCAGAGGGAAAAAAAAAATAAAATGCAGAGGGAAGAAAGGGTATAAAAATAAAATAAGAAATAAAAACTAACTTCAAAAGATGAGACACGTATAATTGAAATACCATAATGAGAAATATAGCAACAAGGGGAAGATGTGTTTAATAGTGACTGAGAATTTCCAAAATTAATGACAGCACCACAAAGCCCAGAGAACACAATATGGGATACATGCAAAATTATGTGCACACACCTAGGAGTATCATACTCAAGCTGCAGGAAATCAAAGACAAGAATAAATCTTGCAAGGCAGCTCTTGTCCCAAGACTGCCTTCCTGTGTCTATGCCAGTGTCTCTCTTAATAAACCTGGCCCTTTCAGTGGCAGTTCTTGCTAAATACTTGCATCTGTGCAAGTGTCTTCTTTGCCTTTCCTGTTTTTATAATAAGCCTGAACTTTTGGATATAAAAAATAGATCTTGTAAGAAACTTGAGGAAAATAATCACTATGTACAGAGTAAAAAGAATAAGAATTACAGTGAATTTCATCAAAAATTATGCAAGCAAGGTGATTGATAACAGCACAAAATAGTTAAACCATTGGAAAAAAAAACTTAGAATTCTAAATCCAATGAAATCATCCTTCAAAGGTGGGAAAAGAGTAGCAAGGAAAACTAAGGAAATTCATTTCCAATAGACCTGACTCAAAAGAAATATTTGAATATAAATTCTTCAGGATGAAGGACTAAAAACTCAGATCTACAGAAAGAAGCATATCAAAGAAAGAATAAGAAAGCAAAAAAAAAAATTTCGCCTGATTGAGCTAATAGATAACCATTCAAGTAGTAACATCATATTGGGTGATTATAGACTATAATCTATAGTGAAATGCAAATTAAAGATTTAAGGGTGTGGAGGGATAAAGACAACTTTACAGGCTGTACTGCTCTGAAGCATTCAAGTGTATTTTGAAAGAGGAATTAGATAATTGTAGAGGAATGTTGCAAAATCTAAGATAACTACAATTTTTAAAGAAGTATATTGATAATACTATGATTCCATTTTCTCTCCTATCTTCTATAATGCCCCAGTAATATCAAAGGTAGAACAAGAACAAAAGAAAAATAACAATAACAAAAACTATAGAGAGGCACTAGAGTTTGTCTTCCATTTTATATATAATCTATTTTTTTTAATATTCAACTGGAAATTATTTGGAGAAGGAAATACAGGCTGGTTATTTAAAGTGAATAACAATATTCATATTTTTAAATTCAATGTGATTTTTTATATTAGTATTTGTTGTCTACATTTTTCAAGCCAAGAAGAATGACTTAATTTCAAGGAAATAAGACATCGAAAGTGAATTTCTGGGTATATGTAAGGAAACAAGTGGAAATAAACCATCACATAGTTCACATCTTTTTAAAAAAATCCTTTTTATGAAATAACATTCATTCATTCATACCTAACAATTTCAAAACAATTTAAATTTGGATCACCCCGTAGTCACTCATAATTGAATCAGCATATTTCATATCTTTTTGAGGTATGCAAATGTACAAAATCTAGATATACACATACATGCTATTATACACATTAGGTATAGAGAAACAAGAATTATAGTGGATGTCTCATCAGAAATTATGCAAAATATATACACCTAAATTTATGAAGCTACACACATACACACACACACACACACACACTCAAAAGCCAGATACATAGGCAGATCTATTTATTTATCCCACCTCCCACCCATTCATCTTTCTATAGAATTTGATTCATTATAAGAAATTGGCTTATGCATAACTAAGTAGGCTAGCAAGTCCAAAATTTGAGTCTGAGGGTCAACGGCTACCAAGAAGGAAGGGTCAATCTGATTCTATTCAGATCTTCAACTGATTAGATTATGGCCACTCATATTATAGAGGATGATCAGTTTAACCAGCTTTAGGTAGTTTTAACATTTAAAGTATATGTTACTCTTACCTAATAACACCCTCACAGAAATACACAAAATAATGTATAACCAAGTATTTGGCCAGACCAGGGCTCAGACAAACTGATACATATTAACCTTCACAAGTAATATTTCAATATTCTTTGGAGAAATGTTAAGTCAATAGCTAAATTTGTGCTTCTCAGGAAAAGATTTCATACCACTTACAAGATTATTATTGCAACTCTCTTAGGATTTAATCCCATGTGTGACTCACGAAATATATTGTCATTCTTTTGAAAAAGTTCTTAAGCTACTTAAATGTCAACATAAAGTTGTCCATGCAGAGTTTGATATAGAAACCCTTTGTAAGGCTCAATCAAGGTAAGATAGTTTGGATATTGTATTGTTTTCATCTGTATCAGAAGCCAATATGTAGTATATATCACAGAAGGAAAGAAAAGAGTTTGACATTCCCTAGAGAAATTTGGTAACCATCAGCAAGCTTTAGAATAAAGAATAATGGGTTTTTTGAAATTGGTCCTTCTGTTATCTCAGATAATGCTGTCACATTTTATACACTCCACACTAAGTATAGCAAAAGGAGAGGTAATATGAAACAAAGCATTTAGAAAGCATGTTAAAAGAATTCATATTTTTTATAACCATACTTGTTACAGGACACAGCAAACAGCAAAATAATCGAATATATATCTAAGACAACCACTATTCCTTATTTCTCATGTTATCACAAAGCAGTTAACAAATGCCTAAAAAAGTATTATGTAATTCTCTCTACCAAGGTAGCATTCACTGAGTAACTACAGATAACATCTTGTTTAATCATCACAGCAACTACATAAGGCAATTATCCCTAGTTCTATTGTACTGATGAAGAAACTGAGGCTCAGAGAAGTGCATGTCATAGCTACCTTCAGGAAGTGGTGGAGTCAGAATTTAATACAGGTCTATCTGTCCAAATTCATGTTAATTCCTTCCCACAGAAGAAATATTCTAATAATAAAAATATAGAGGCTAATATTAAGTCATTTGACATAGGCATCGAATATAAGATACCACATAAAAAACATTTTATTACAGCAGAGTGCCTGAGGTGCAAAGTTGGACTCCAAGCCCTCAAAAATATAGCTAAATTTATAAGCAATGACTCAGTTTTCAATGATTTCAGGTTTGTTAATATACACTATATATCAATCTTATCTGATCTTTTTATAGTTAGTTTGGAAATATTAAGCTCGTTCATTTTATTTGTTGAAAACTAATTGTTAACACTAGTGGCAAAGGTATATAGATACAATAGATGCAGATGCTTCTTTGTGGGGAAGATAATAAAATAATAAACCAGCCCTAGTACACAAAACAATTGGGTATTACATGTGGGCTATTACTATGTATTGTATCTTACTCTGTGGGATTTGGCATCACAGGTTATACTTCAAAGAGTCAGCTCATAGCCATCCCTGCCAAGGATTTGCAATGAGAGCCTAGTACCAGATGTCTGTTAGGTGCCCCTACATGTCTGATTGTAGACTAAGATCTCATTTTATCCACCATTCTAAGTCTTTGTTTTCTTGTTGTTCAGCAGGGCAGCCTATGGTGAACTGGAAAGCCATGTTATTTCCTGCAGCTTACCATCTGTTGATCAAGTTTTTTTTTTTTTTTTTTTCCTTTGCGATGCAATACCTTAACTACTCAGTTGTGGCCTACACCAAGTGTTTTGTTTCATCTTCAATTTGTAACTTTTTCAATGTGCAGGTACAGATAAAGGCAAATTTTCAATTACCAAAATGCACAGAAAGACAAAAATATGAAATGCTTGTTAAAAATGTTCAATCACTGAAGTAAAATGATCATACAGCTTTCCTTTGTGGGTCCAACGTGCCTGACAACAAAAGAAAGGACAGGATACTTGGAAGATATTGAACTGGGCAGGCAGCAACAAGTCAGCAATCTTTGTTTTTCCATATGCATATAGAAAGAATATAGGGCAGGAGATATAAAATGCTCAGAAGGAACTTTAAATCCAAAACAAACGAGATCAAAGCAAGAGTTGGTTTTATCACATAAGGAAAGCTACATAAGGAAAGATTTTTAGGTACAGTAATCATGTGACGAAGCACCCAAGCCAAAAATGACTTCAAGTAAAAACCTGTTTATCAAAAGTAGGAGCATGTGGCAAGAAATGGGAATCACTTTTGTAGTATGCCACCTTGTACATTTACCTTGTAACATTTTAATCTGTTATATCATTCTCAATAAAATGCCCCATCCTGCAAAATCCTTGTCTTATTCTGTGCCTCTAAATGAAAGTATTGTATATTTATACAGATCATTCTGCAAGAGGGGAGAAAGGAATAGGATCAAAACAGGGGTGGGAAGAGCACAGGAGACTATGGTGATGGTACAAGGGTGAATTGGTGGTGGGAATTTCATGGGGACTGTAACAGAGATGAGAAAGCATACACTGTACAAAAATGAAGAACAATATAAAAATATAATTAAAACAATACATATCATCTATATACAACAAGCTACCAAGCACATTTCATGACCCATTTACATTCATTCATATGAGGTAGTTATAGAGTAAGGGCAATATGATGCTGCAATAATGTGCAATACTAAGGAGTACTTAATTAAATTAGAGCAAATAGTTGTAATAAAAAAATCTACAAATATTAATATAATTTCCAGCTCTCCTATACTTAGTGATTGTGTTCTTACCTGACTTTTGTAATCCATTGAATTTTTTTCTATTAGTACAGGATTTATTTTAAAAAATTGAATTGCAGTATTTAAGGTCATTAGGCTACCTGGGACTTGGAGTGCCCTTAATTCTATAATGAATTACTGGTTGATTGCATATGTGAGTGAGTGAATAGAACTATAAAAGCCTAAGGAAGGAAAGTGTAGTTAAGATTTTGTTGGCAAGTACTGAAGAAAATTAGGAAAGTTCCAAGATGAATACAGCATTTCATGGGTACCTACAAAAGAAAGGATAAGATAAAACCAAGCTAATAATAAACACTAGAAAACTGACAGTGGAATCAAAGCTACAAAGGGTGAGGAAGACACAATGGGGAGGGGATCATAATGGATTGTGGTAGAGGACTGTGGGTGTCTTGTGTCTAGGTGTGGTGTGAGGATATGCATCTGGGGTGGGTGAACCTATGACGGAATAATATGCAAAATTATACATCAACATTACCTAAAAAAGACAAGACAGAAAGCTCTAGATTTCAGAAAATACATCAAACATCTATTTAGGAATTCCAAGAAGAATATATTTAAAGCGAGATAAAATATATTACTGATATCAAACCCAAAATAGTTATCTAAATAACCAAAATCTTAACATCCCCAAGGGAATGCTTATTCACATGGTTTAAATGTCTCACTGTCCAAATTCCAACCAATTAAAAAGGGGAAAGGAAGAAAGAACACACCCTCCCCTTTAAAGCACATGATCTGGAAGTTATACTTTTTTGGCGGGGGTGGGGGGGGGTGTTGTGTGATGGGAGCCTAGAATAGAAAATATAGGAAGAAGCAGAATTAAACTGACCACTGAATCACATTCTGCCTTTAAAAGTAAATATCACCAAATTGCTTTCCTTATAACCTCTCCTCATGATCAACAATTAAGTAGCTCTAACTTCATTGCTGGACACACTGCTGGGAAAAACAAACACTTAGACTCCAGTTACAAAACTACCTATCTCCTGGACTAGACTGAGGAGGAGATACGGGTGATTAATAGTCATTGGAAGACCTGCAGATGCAGCCAGGAATTGGAGTTGGGGTGAAAAGTTAATCTTTTCAGGAAACTAACTTAACTCCAAAGGTAGAAATTTCACCAAGAACAATGAAAAATTCCTCTTAAAAACACTATATAAAGATACCTCTTGCTCTGGCAAAATGAAGACCTTACCCCAAGAATGACCACCTGTGTTTAGGAGGCACCTCAATATTCATAGTCCTTTAACAACTGTTCCTTTATGCCTATGCAAATGTCCCTTCCCCCTTTTTTCTTAACAATGCCATTTTTTTCACTTACAATAAAGTTTCATTTCTAATTTACCTATACTGATCCTGCAGAAATTCCTTCCTGAGAAGTGAAGAACCCCAGGGCCCCTCAGCACCCTTGGGGCATCCCTTTATCAAATCTTAATCTACCTGCCCATACTCACACCTAGGCACCAGGATATCTGGAAATTATATATATATATAGAGAGAGAGAGAGACACCCTTATTTCCACATTTAAAACATTCTCACTATAGAAAAGATAATCCCTAGTTCAAGGTATTTTGGTGAGGTTCCCTCCAGGAGACCCAGACATGACTATTCTAAAGAGCTGAAAAAAGATTTTTCTGTAACTACTCCTTACCCAGTGGTAGAATATGAACAAAAAACAGTAGTAGTACACATTTAAACAAGGGAAGTGGGGAGATACACTAGTCATTGGCAACAAACATTTACCAAATTCCCTTGGGCAGAAATTTAAATATTCAAGCTGGATTCAGTTTTGCTTCACACATCCAGAAGTCCTGAAGGTGTTTTCTGGGAGTAACTTTTATCTATTGTTGTCTTTGGATCTATGGAAATAGCTTCCTTGGGGGCTACATCTGAACTGTGCTTTGGGTAATATTCATTCTGAATATTGTGAGGATTTGTAGGTTGCTTTAGAAGTTAAACTATCACAAGCTTTTGCACTGCTTGAGGTGATCTGAAATAAAGGTTTTATGTGGGGAAGATAAGATTCTTAATTCATTGCCACTGGACTTATTCCTTCTTAGAGAATTATAGGGTTCTAGAGATGAATCTCCTGCTAAGGCCGCTTCTTCAAATACACTCTTTAAAAATTCCTTCTTTGGGGCATAAAATAAGGGAATTTCTGAAAACCATCAACTTATATTTGCATACTAGCATTGGCGAGGTAGTATTTCTAATTATTATTTTATAAGAGCAATATTCAAAATTTTGCTAACCAGTGAGTATTAAAGAAATGTGAGAAGTTGGGAAAACAAAATTTTTGGAGGCTAGATGAAAAAAAGCCCAGGTTGTTTTCTGTAGCATAATGTATACGTGAGAGTTGAGTCTATTTACAAAATTTGAGGAGACAAACTACCGAAGTGTCCTCTGGCTTTTCTGTCAGATTTGATTAAACTTGCTCAAACAGCTTTAATATTGTTAAGTGAGGGCATGCTTTTAGGTAGGCTGGATGATTTACAACAGAAGGACAGACTTTCACTATCTAGTCTATTAATCATTTACTTGTGTTGAAAAAGTTTCAGCTAAGTTTCTTAAACAAAATGACTGACAGCAGCTTGTGGGTGTAAAACAGACTGGGTTCTAGTCCAAGATTTACTGCTGTCTTAGCTGTGTCAATGCAAACCTTTTTATTTTTTAGTTATACGATAGCATGTGTATTTCAGTCCTGCTATATGGAATTAAACTGACAACACAGCTTACATGACATGCTTTGAGCTAAGAAATCTCAAAATAATATTGAATTTTCTTTCTTAAGTCCTAGAAAGTGATTTCCTTTAAGCCAATGGAGGAAAGCTAAGCCAAGGATAGCCAGGTAAGAACAAAGAAACAGAGCAAGTTTCAATAATGAGTATAAATGATACTTCATTGTTTTATTTCACTAAAGATAACTGTCATAGCATTTGGTCTTTTACCAAGAAGTGTAGGGTTTTATAACCTAAGGCTTTTTATGTTAAACAATCTGAAGGGTACTCAAGAGGAAGTCTTTACCTCAAAACATGTCTTTACATGCATATACAAATAGCCTAAATAACAAGATGCTTCCCCTGCATTTTCATGGTTCAGAAAAAAATCTTAAAATGGGAGTTTTAAAGGTACACAGAATTATATACTTAACAATGGCAAAATGCTAAATTTTGTTATATATACTTTTCCAAAATTTTCAAAAGGGAAGTTCACCAGATTTCACTTCTCAGCAAAAGGATTTAGAGAATTAGTATGGAAGGTAATATTTTTAAGTCATATGTTTTCTAGTTATAATATCATTTACTCCTCGTAAGAATTCTTATGGATATTATTCATATTGACTGATGAGAAACAGATTAAAAATGAGCATGTAGTATATATGTGATTTTAATATTAGTAAATAGAAGAGCAAGCGTACAAAATATTCTGTGACTTGCTAAGTCACTGTAAATGAATATGCCTTTGAACACAGCAGCAAAGAGGAGAGAGGTGGGAAAAAGTTGATGGATTGCATGAACTATAGGAAAAATAAAGAAAGCATCTCCACCATATTTCATTTACTCTAAAAGATTTACTATATTTATTCCTAGTTACTCTCCCAAGTAAGCATTCATTCATCTATCCATCTATCCACCCATCCACTTACTTATGCCAGTAAGAGTCATATACCATTCTCTCAAAATATTTGAATGAAATCGGTCCCATTTTCTATCAGAGAAAACTAATTTTAAAATGAAATCAAAAACTAATATTCATCAGAAATGTGTCTTTCATTCAAATAATATTAGATGAGATGAAGTTATCAACATGGCTGCAAAGGGACACTATTTAAAAAAAAAAAAAAAAAAAAAAAAAAAAAACAACCTGATAGAGAGAAATAACAGAGACTTCCTAGTGGGCTCCGGATGCAATGGACAAAATTGGTGACTCCAGTGATTCGACCAGAAGCAAAGAAGGGTTAAAATGATGGGAAGGGAAGAAAAAAAGTCACTGGAATCCTTCTTCCCTCCCCCACCCACAAAGCCGGTCTACTCTGTCCAGCAGGAAACAAGTCCACCCTCACTTTTCATCATTTATGAGGACGCAGAACATACTGAAAGCTATTTTATTCCTGGCTTATGTTGATTACATGTAACAGATACAGAATAAAATCAGCCAAGAGAGGGAAATACCAGCTGTGGATTTTTCTAGTCCTCTCCCTGTGGAATCAGCACACATTTATTTCCTGGCATCAATATGCAACAACACCTATGCCACAGCCAACTAGGAAGCTCATTCAAGCCTTGGTATCGGGAGCTTTACTTGGGACACCATCACATGAGTATGATTGATCAATTACCCAATTGGTTGATCTTAATCTCCAGATGGGCTGATATTGCATGATTCAAAGTCCTCACACTAAAACATATCATTTGACAAACATAGTTTGTTTTTCTGGTTTGAACAGCCCCACCCTAAATTATATTGTTACCATCTTGCTATC